ACGCTGAGTGTCAAGTTCCACTGAAAGAGAACAATAAACCCCTTACTGCACAATGGTTCAAAACTGGCATTTAGTGTTCGTAATTCACTGGAGCCTTCATTTTTTCACTTAATTTGATAATTTTTTTATCAAACTTATAATATTAGCAAGAGACCAGTTGAGCCTGATTTGTGAATTTTTATTTGATTGTTTTAATTTTTTTAGTGCAAAATGCAGAAAAAATGGCAATTTTGAAAAAAGATGTCTTCTCCTGTTCCAGTTAGAAAAATGGTACATAATAACGACTAGTTGAAAACAATTGTATGGTTCCCCAAAAAATGTTCACCAAAAAATTTTTTTTTGGATTTTAGTAACAATTGGTTGAAAAATGAAGACTACGGTGAATTATGAACATTAAATTCCAATTTTGAACCACTGTGTGCTGGCTTCGGCGTGCAGTATGAATTATGGTAAACACATTTTGGCAGCAAAGGATGGCAGTGTCATTGAAAAGGATTTGGCTTCATTTCATTTCATCGGAATCGGGTAATTAACTGGTAAACATCTGATTTAAATTAGGATATGGGTAAGGTACATTTATCATATAAGTTGTATGTACGTATTCCCAAATCATTTTGAAAAAATGTCTTTTATTTTACGTTGGTTAATATGGTCACCTATATGTACGGTGACGGTAATTTAGAGAAATACAAAATCTTCGATAAATCAGTAAATATTAAAGTTAATTTATTCAAAATTGATGCTTGCAACAATTCTTTTTTTGTCACAATTCGTTACCAAGAAATACGTTTATTAAAAAATTTTGGAAAATGGGCGTGCACCGCCCACTTATGATATCTCGGTAACCGTTCTACCAGTTTGTACCAAACTCGGTATGGTTATTGTGTTTGCCACATAAAAGCAAAACGTTGAAAATTATTGAAATCGGACTAAAATTACGGCCGCTTTTTATATAACGGCAAATTTCAGAAATACTTAAACCTTCAATATGTCGAAATTTAAGGACGCTAATTTACTCAAAATTGATACCCCCGGCTTACCGTGTAGCGGTAGCTTTCGGAGAAAGTATATTACTTGCGCCGGGTATTTAATATTCGGCTCCGCCCGAAGTTAGACTTTCTTACTTGTTAATTAGACAATTGTTTAATGAATTTTACTTTAATAGGAGCTTGCAAAATTTGCAAAATCTCTTCACGTGTATACAGTGTAATTAATAATGCTGACTATGTTGCATGTGTCGCACTTGTCGCTTGTGTTGACATGCATAGATTTGATGCATGATTTGATTTCAATTTATTCGACAGAGTCTTCATAAGTCTTTGTCAAGCATATATATACGACATACTATGAACTGGCAATATCATGATGTGACACATGCCGCTATGTTTTATAATTCAACATTTGCAGGCCTTTATTCTGAGGTATCAGAAATATTAACACGAATCTCCTTCTCTGAAACATGAAAATTCACTTAGTCCTGAGACACCTTTAAATTACTGATAATTAAAAAAGCACAACATGAAATTAACCCTGGCATTCAGTAAGCGGTCTCTAGTCACTAATAGTGACTTTTGGTGGTGAACTTGGATTTTGAGACTATTTGGTATTCAGTAAGCTGTCTCACGTCTCTAGTCTCAAAAATAAGTCACTAATTTATCAGCTGGCTATGAGCAGGTCACAAAAATAAAAATATTGAGGAAAAGAAAATTGCTCTAATTTTATTAAATAAAAAACGCGAAAATGGAGCGAGGAAATTTGTTCAACAACAATTTCATTAGGAAATAAACCAAAATACTTTAATGTCATATATATTCTTTTAAAAAAAAATTATTTTTTGTTTTTAAAACATTAAAATTCAAAGATTATGTAACCAAAAAATAAAATTAACAAAAAAATATTAAATAAAAAAAATCATTGGCGCCCGAGGAGGACTCGAACCCGGATCCCTCTACCGGCAGCCTAATGCTTTGACCACTCGGCCATTGCGACTCTTTGGGCGGTGCGGGCAAAAGGCGTACATAAGCACTATTACAGGCCTATTCTGCTTGTAACCGAACATTTTGTAACAAACTAATTTTGTTACCAACAATTGTCACCACTTCTTGTAACTGTAATTCTACTTACCTTGGTAACGTTTTAATATATTCAGCAATTCATCTATGTAGTTTCGTTGAAATTCTGCTCATGAGACGGTAACAAAATTTACCGGTTACAAGAGTATGGAGAATACGAAAAGGGTTTAAAAATTGACAGTAACTTTACTAACCGGTAACAAAATTTTTGTTATCTGCGCAGAATAGGCATGTTAGTTGACTGTCTGTGTTTGTTTTCACCACACATTTTTGGTGAACTTTTGTGACTCTCTCCTTATCTCAAGTCGCAAAAATAGTCACTAATTGCTAGTCTCAAATTTAGTGACTTGAGATGAGACTGAATTACTGAATCACATGGTAGGGGTTGTTTCCCTGCAGTAAAATTTAGAGACAGTCCATCGGCGTAGCCAGAATGAAATTTAGGGGGGGGGAGGGCTCGACCCTATTAAGCTGGCATTTCTGGGTACTATTTTATATATATATAAGGAAAATTTGAAAGTTAAGGGGGGGAGGGGGCCCGAGCACCCCCTGCCCCTACCTGGCTACGCCCATGAGACAGTCTGTTAAAGCGCCAGTTCTGCCATATACATTTCAGAACTATCTCTGAACTAGTGCAAAACGGCTGCAGAGATTGACAGTTGAAACTTTTGGTGTGCTAGTTGCGCTCTGTTGAGGAGTAAATGCACAAATTCTCACTTCTCGTACAATACTAAAATAGCTCAGTGGGAAGACCTCCGACTTTAACATCGTTGGTCGCGAGTTCAAATCGCGGTGGAGGCAGTAGTGATTTTCAGGTTTAATAAATTTAAATTGTTGACTTCCACAATTTATATTGAGCTCGAGGCCGTTTTTTAAATGAAAAGATATTGTGGAAAAGCAACAATAAATTGAAAAAATGGTAGAAGTGATAGCTATTTCGGAAATCACCATATTTCCTCATCAGACTTCTTTCAGTAGGATTCGAACCGACGATCCCACTGACTCAGTCAGTTGCCTATGCACCGTGCTAAGTACGCCTTGTAAATTATCGTTTGCTTTTTTCCACTATTTTCATTTTTGTTATGCCAACACAATCAAGCGCAGCTATTCCGCTGCAATTCACTTGATCATGTGGTTGTTGGTATAGTTGGTTTTTGCTAATAATTCTATTTGTAGAATGTTTAACTTTTAGGTGTGCTCGTCCTTAAGTTATTTGTTTTTGTTATTTTTT